AGGTGGTTTTGATGAACAGTGTTACTCAAGTCTAGGTCATAGGGATGGGATGAAGACCTGTAATGCCATACAGGAGGTGACAAGATCATAGTGCTTCGTCTACATGGGAATGGGAGGAAGCAGCAGATGGCATGAAGCTGGGGAACATGGAATTTGGAAGCTGAGCCAGAAGACCCAGGCTGAGCCATGGCAGCAAAAGTATCACAAAATATCCACAGAAGGCCAGAGTACCTGATACTTCCAAACTTAATTTCATATTCCCATTCTTTTAGTTAATTAACTGTGTAGTCCTTTGTAAGAAAAGAAAAAAGAAAAATCTTTTTATCCCTTACTTGGATTTAATAAGTCACCCTAAGCTCCTAAAAAATACCATATGAGTTTACAGTCATCTTATTTGCTGAAGGGTTTTGGCAAGATCCTCAGAATACTGATTTGATCTAAGGCTCGAACTTAGCTGCTGTGCTTCTCCAATTCAAAACTTAGTATGCCTCCCATCCCTCACCAAAGTAATACTTAGGGGAAAGGTAAGAATAGGCTTCAGACACTTCATGACCTGAGATTTCTGGGAAGAAATGTTGTTTAAAATACAAAAAATGGGAACTTAACCTTTTAGGGAAAAAAGGAGAGCTGAGAGATCTTTGTTCTTTACTATTTTCATGGCATGTAAAGGCAACCAAGAGAATTTACTTTACCGTTGCATTTAAATCCCTGTAACAGAAATCAGCTGATCATTTCATAATTGTGAAATCATTAATCATTTAGTTATTCCACATTATTTTCAACCATCTTCACCTATGGAAGGTATTACCTCAAGTAAGCTATGGATATGAGGTGATTAATGGTGTCTGAGGAAAAAGGCTGCTGTTGCTACATTTTGTTTATAAATCAAAGACGAAAAATTGTAGCTCAAAATCTTGCAGTTGAAGTTAACTGGAATTTAGCCCATGCATTAAATGTGGCTGTGATTTTGGTTTTGCTGTTTAATGAATAGATGCAGGGATTAACATTGTACAGTCAATCTCACACATAGAGGCACAAAGTCATTTTAGTTTGAATTAATTCCAAGCATGTGTTGGGCAGATAGGGTGCTGGCAACCCATTTCTAGTTCCAAACAGAAGCAGTTAAAAGCCTGTGGAGTCCAGTGTTAAAGAGGTATTTTGCTATACCTAAACAAAAATATAACCTTCATCTTGCCCTGAATCAAAATCATAAATGTTTCTGCTGCTTCACGAAGGTCTATTGCTTTGATATCAGTGCAGGAATAGGTAGGGTCAGAGGGCAGCGAGGCAGGGACGGATTTGGCACCAGCCTTCCCGAGACGCAGAGGACTTTGGAGCTGGAACACTTCTGCTGTAGTGACAACTGGCTTTTACCTGAGAGTGAAAGAGAAATATCAGATGCCCTTAACAAGGGAGAAACTACTTCTTGGTAAGCGGTGGGTTTCAAATGTTCTCCCATGTGAAACATCTACAGCCCTGTCTGGAACTACAGTGCCGCAGCGACTCCATCCGTTGGGTGGTACAGCACGGTGTGGTGGTGTCTCGAGGAAATGAATGACATCTCAAGTATTTACACACTTTCTTTTGGCAGTTTGCCTCCTAGCTCCTCTGTAAGGAAAACATGTATTGTCCTTTTTATAACTTTGGCTGGTTTTTATGTTTGATGAGGGGTGAGTGATTCTGACACTTGTAATGACCATTCCATTTGATGATAAGCCCTAGCTGGTCAGGTACAAAACTTCAGTGGCTTAACAATCTGTTCTAAATATTATTGCTTTAAACATATAACCCGTTTATTGTTGATACAGAGATTTTTTTCACAGCTGTTCATAGTGAAGCTATTTCTCTATGCATTGAAAATTGAACTTTTTTGAGCTTGCATTTGGTAAAATGTGTTAACTGAACTGGCAAAATGTATTTCTGTAATTCAAATTTTTGTGTCTGTCCTCAGGTCTCCATAGGAATTGTAAAGAACACACAAACTGTGTTAGAGCACAGCTTTATCTGAACATTGTTACCTTTGTGTTGAGAACCTTTTTTTTTTTTTTTAACTCAATAATTTGCATCAAATACATGATGCAAAGGATAGCTTAATAGTACTAAAGTTAGTTGGAGTTAAATGATTGATTCTTTTAGACTAAAAAGTACTAGCTAATCTCATTAAATAATTTTTACTACCCTATTTATTCCAAGATTACTAATACACTGGAGACAATGCTTCAGGTTCAGATGGACAAAATGACAGAGGTAATACAGAGTATAGTAAGAGAAATTAAGTTCATTAGTGACTTTTTTTACATATATGCTTATTCTGTGTTGTCTGAATGCTAAAGAATGTTTATACAGTGATTAATAATCACTAAGCAACAATAGTTGATAACCACGGCAAGTCAAACTGCAACTGTATGGCAGCTAAGATTCTGAACAAAATATTTGATCTTGAGCAAGACTGTTAAGAAGTGCTACAAAAATTAGCAAACGTATGGGTGGATTAAGAAAAAAAAAAAAAAAAGACCTCATTTACTGTTTTGTCATTTGGATGTTATTGCTGTTAATTACTGAAAGCAAAACAGGGAGGAGGAAGAGAAGGAGCTATTCTGCTTTTGGATGTGCAGGAGAAGACTCTGTAAAGATGGCAAGATTATTTAAATGTTGAAAAAATAGGTATATCAAGTCTGACATTCAAAACTCATGGATAACATTTAAATACAGCATGAAGAAATGTGTAGTTTTCTTGCATAGTCCTATTTTTTGTCTGTAGAGAGTGCTCTTCCTCCAGTGTATTTTTCTATTATTATTTTTTCTTCTGTGCACTTTAGATAAGTGTAAAGCATCGACTCCCCTGTTCATCCTCATTACTTTCTCTCATTTAACTAGACAACCTTCTATATTGTTGAACTTTACTCGGTGATACAAGGTGATGCTATGGTAATATGATGTGCTTTGCCCCAGAAATGCTAGCAGAAATGCCACCTATTGGTGATCTGGTGCCAGTGTGATGCCAGTCTTGTACTATTACTTGTCTAAAACTTACTTAACCTCGGTATTTACAGCTAGGAGAATCCATTTATTGCAGTAAGAGGATGGTAACTAGAGTTGTGGGTTTTTTTTGTTGTTGTTGTCTTTTACAGCACTACTAAGCATTGGCAACTACAACCCAAAGACAAATTACTAAAACAAATCACACAAACGTCTGTTGGCAGATAGCTCCTCATTTGTGCATCGCTTCCATGGTTTCATACTGTTGTCTTTTTTCACGCAGGGGAAAACTGTTGCTGCAACTATGGGTCAATTGTCGTTAAAAATCACAGTACATATCAGTTAGAAAGCCTGTCTTCAATTAATTAATGACTTTGAAGATTTAACAACTGAACTCTAGCTAAATAGCGGGATAAGCAATTGTGTTAACATCACATTTATAGGTGGTGAAACCAAGGAACAGAGGCAAACTAATCAGCAGACATAATAAAACTTGTGTCTCTTACAAGTTTATCCCCATCTTATCCTCTTGAGTGTACAGTATTGTGTCTAATAAAAGGCTAGGAAACTTGGAGTAATAATTCATGATTATCAGATCTTTAGATGTGCAGAGGAAAATCTTAGAAATAACTTCTAACATTTCAATATATTGTTTATTTTAGGCTGTATTGCCACATGAAGTTAAAATAGTACAGAAACTTTGGGCTAAATGTCACTTACAATATCCTTTATAAATTGCATCCAGATGTTTAAAAGAAAAAATTTTTAGTATGTTCAGAAAGCCTGGGAAATTTTACATTTTGAATAAAAACAACAATCAAACAGAAATCTTGCATTTGGATGTAAAAAACCAGTATTATTATCGTTATTATTGTTATTGTATTGCTGTTATTATGACATTAAAACACTTTCTTAATGCAGTATATTTTTTCTGGAAAATACCTTTGGCTTCCAGTGAGTGGGTGGAAAAAAACAGACTATAGAAACCAATCTAGGTACAAATTGTATTCACAGCTAGTTCATACTAAAATGTGAAATTAACTTTATTACTCTGTCTGCCTTTTCTCTTCCAGTAGATCTATTTCATCTCTTTATTTTTATCCTGTAAATCTGAACTTTGGCAGTCTTTGACATTTTAGAGCTTAATCAAGCAATTTAATATTCTTACAATTTGTATTTTACTGCAGTCTGCCTATGTAACTAATTTTTGTAGTCTCTTTCTGGCTAACGGCACACAGCATAATGGTCTTTCAAACGTCTATCATTGCCTGTAATGTACTGTAATATACTTTATAACATATACCCTCCTTTCATGCTCTGGTGAGATAACAAAGAAAACACTTTGATCATGAAATCTGGCCCTATAATAGGAATAAGTCTCTTCTCACTCTTCAAAATTTTGCTTCTCTCAATTGCTGCATGTGGTACTGCATTTTAGTTTGAAGCACTCTGCTGCTCTGGAGCGGTATTAAGTACAATTTTAAATAGAATAGTTATCAGGTTTTCTTTTCTATTATTCTTTTATCGAGAGCTTCTCCAAAGAAATAGAACACAGTTTCTTAAAGACTGTGATCATTTTATGATTCAAGAAAAGGCTCATTCCAAGAGTTGGGAGACTTGATTCTATAATAACTTTGTGTGACACCCTTGGAAAAAGTTACTTCATTTCTTAGTAATATCTTGGTTTTCCCATCAGGACAATTGTATAATGTAAATAAACAGGAAATTGATGCTACAGTAGCAAGTAGCATCTCATGGTTTTAGTTCCTATTCCACAATGTAACCAACACAATATATATTTTCTTGAATATCCTAATTAATCAGGCTACAGATCAGTTCAAATTATTAGATAGAAATATTTTATATTAAAGACTTATTATTGAATACTTTTCTCAAGAATTTTTTTATTTCATATTTTTACTTCTAATAGTTGAGATTTTCAATACACATTGTAATGTCTTCATCTTTGTGTCCTGTAGATAGCTAGAAATTCTTATTGACCTGTGTTATCACCTTGGCAGGACGAACTCTGCTGGAAAAACTCTTCAGCCAGCAGGAAAATGCACCACAAGAAGAAGCAGAAAAACTATGTTCTCGCATTATTGCAATGGGTCTTTTGCTTCCATTCACTGACTGCTTCAGGGAACCATGTAATCAGAGTGCCCAGCAAAGCACACCCACATTTGATGTAAGTACAGAAAAAGTTATCTTTTGTCTGTTTTGCCAAGCCGGGACATGATTTATCAATGGCTTATCAGTCCTGAGAGAATTCTGTTAGTCCTTTTAATGAAAATTGCCCTTATGAGAGTGGCCAGCTATTTTTCTGAGCTCAGGTGTGTACCCTTTTGTATCCAGGGAAGCATAAGTTTTTAAAGGTTCTCCAATAACTTGGTTTCTTAACTCATATCTTAGTCTGCTGTACTGTTCTTTATCTGTTGTTTTCATTAAGTCTTTTTCTTGGAATCAAAGCGCTCTATAGGACTAACGACATTCCAATCCAATACCTGCTTCACCAAAAATATAAATTAAAGGAACAACAGAAAACAGCATGTCACAAAACTTTACAGAACCCAAATGGGATGTCTGTGCTAGATAGTTTTTTTCCCGCTGAAAAGACTTTTGATACAAAATAGTGCAGGGATCCGTGCAAATTTGCTGGCATTCCAGCTACAGTGTTATCTGTGCCTTTGGGCATTCTGCCTGGAGTGCTGTTATTGAGGTGTTTGCATACCATTACAAAACTGTGGTGTAGACAATGCCTAACATACTTTTCCTGCCTCTTCGATAATGAATTCAACATTAGTATGTCTTTCTATCATATGATACTGTACAACCCATGAAGTTTTACAATGAACTTATTTTTCTGATCCTTGCTATTAAATTTTATCTTTTATAATTTGTATTGGTTTATGTGACTGAAGATACTCAGGGGTTTTCTCTTCACTAACTTCAAAATAACATACAAATATTAACTAACCTGCTTAATACCTTGCTGGTATAGTTAAGATCATCCCTATTCTACACATTAAGCTGAAGCTTGGTTAGAAATACTCAGCAGTGATTGGCATAGATATGAGAAGACGTGAGTCTTTTTAACTCTTTAAATCTTTCTCACCTTACCCGAAGAATAATTTAACACAACTGGTGAAGGGAGAATAAGTAGAATAAATTTGACTGATGAATTCTTAAGATAAACAAGCTTTCCTAGATAACCTAGCTTATCCACAAAATCATTCCATAGTCCCTCTAACAATATTCAACCTTTCTGTTTTTTTTTTTTTTTTAAAATATTTAAAACAGTTTCAAACTGTTTTTTGAAATTAATTGAAAAATGGAGTGTGACTATAAAACTGAGGTTATTCAGGCAACTTAAAATCACACACCATCTGAAAGTGTTTATGGTTAAATATACTCAATAAAGTTACTGGAAAAGACACATTTCTTATTTTTCAGGCTGATTAAAACATGTTGGCAATGTTTCCAGTTCTCCTGGTTTTACCATATATTCAGCTAATCTCTTCTTCTTTAGAGTATTGAATACAATATTCTTCTTAAAAAAAAAAAAAATCTCCTCGCTTATAAACAGATTTTATCAAATGAAAAGTTTGGAAAGAAGCAGAAGAGGGTCTTTTATTATACTGGTATACTGTGCTTTGTCTGAGTAACAGAATTATTCTAGTTATCTTTCATTGACCGTATCCAACAGGATGGACTTTCTGAAAAGAAACAGTAGCTGAGCCTAGTGCCATGTGAACAGCGTGTCAAAGTCAGCAACTTAAGATGTTGCTGGCTTAGCAGTGATCTTAGTTTGAATTGGACTATCAGTAAGCCACAAATGCTCTGTTACTATTTTTCTGTATAAGTCCGCTAAATAGATCGTGCTCCTGTAAAACAATGTCAGAAGTGGTGTAACGCCCTGTGTATGTGGATGCAACTAGTAGTGCATCCTACTTCAAAGGAGCATACATCTGTCTTGAACACTAGGATCTCAACAAGTGAATTTCACATGGCACAAAGATGAGAGCTGCTGTTGTTGAGTCTGGGAATACGTACTGCTTCAGCTTTAGTGACCACAGTACAAGAACATTTGCCTGTTTATTCTTTACATGCCCTACAAGGATGGAAATGTTTAGAAATTGCAGTATAAACTCTGGTGGGTGAGAACTTCAAAACTGGGCTTCTCCTAGCTGATTTTACTTCTTAGAGTGGGTAAATAAAATATCTTACAGAAAATAAATGCTAATAGTTATGTAAGGAAATGAAACAACTGAGTGTGAAAAAACTTACAGTGATGCTGTATGTTACTTAAAAAAGGACATGTAATATCTGTGACTCGTATCCCCTCTTGCATCTCTCTCCATGCCTGTACTTTGGTTTTATTCTTAATTGGGCTTTCTTTTTTTTAATTCACTAGAACAGGATTTTAATATTAAACTAGTCTTAAGTAATACTTAAATTTCACCCATCTAGAATTAGGTGGTACATTGTCTTTGACCTTACTCCTAAATTGGGAGCACAGCCAGTCCCATATTCTTCCTTCATCTCTCAGTTTGTCAGATATGCCTCCAGTTCAATCCTGGATTGCATCCAGTTTGGCTGGTGTCCTTTTCACTCAGCTGAAAGTGCCATCAACGAAGCTTCTGTAACTCTGTCCTGGTCCCAGCCAGGTTTGTCTGCCACCTCATTGTCCTTCCTCTCTGCTACATCCAGCTCTGGTGCTTGCTTGATCCTTAGTGTTACTCATTTTGCTGTTTTGATTTTTGTCTTAGTCTGGTTCTTATAAAGTCTCTTAGGTCACTCCATTAGCATGTTTTTTTTTTCAGAATTGCCAACCTTTTTTCCACTGAAATCGTTCCTTGAATCTCTTCTTTTCTCCTTTTGTGACTGATCCCATGTATTTCTGAGCTTTAACTTACTTTTTTTAATGTTGAATAAAATCCATGATTCCCTTTTGCTTAAGTGTGGTCCCACAGACTTTGTTTTCTGAAGATGTTAGGTCACAGTTTATGAAAATAATTCACTAGGTTTTGTTCACTCTGTGATCTATTGCTCATGGCTTGAGATGAATATAAACAGATTATTTAAAAGTCCTATTCTCTCACTCTGATCTCCTTTTCTGGATGTCCTCCAGTGAATTTAATTTAACATGACTAATGCTGAACTCTCTGTTGCCTTGAAATGTTTGCAATTGCACACTCTGATTATATTCTCATCTTCGTTATTGCTCATGCCTGGTGGTCACCTCTAGTTCTCCCTGTCTTACGACTGTATATCCACATCTTGTGTCTGTTTTCTCAGTAACATACAAGAGATCTGTTTTTTTTCTTTCTCCCAAGATATTCCAGACTTCAGTGTGGGCCTCTGCCTCACCCCATTAAAAATTGTACACAACCTCTTTGACTTTTCCCATTGGATCCTATTTCTTTCTCTTCCAAACTATCTGATTGCAATTAGGCAGTGCATTAAGAGTAAAGGCAACTTTCACAGCTCTTAGTTTCTTCGACTAGTATTATAATGTCTCCTGGAATCCAGTTTAAATTAAATTCTTAGCACTTGTATTTCTGCTGTAGGTTATGCTTTGTGGATGTGATGCTTACTCCTTTGTTAGAGTATGGCAAATATGAAGGACCAACAAATATCCAATGAAAGCATAAATCTTTAGAGAACTAGCAGCTATTGTCACATTTATGCTGAGAATGGTGTCCAGTTTTCAGAGGCTTATAACTTGGTCGGATTTTGGATAGAATTTAATGATGCTTGGAAATGGCATGTTCCTGAAGTATCTCTGACCTTTTTGTCAAATTTCAAGTCATAGCCCAAAGGATAGAAACTTTAAAACTGTTTGAAGAACTACTGAGAAAACTTTCATGTTCTATCTTAGCCCATTTTATCAATTATTTCTTTCTAAACAGATTGTGGCAGATGCCCAGAAGAAAAGATTAGTCTGAAAAATAAAATTTAAACAAAGCTTTAAAAGTAACTGAAGAAGACAGGGTTGGGATTTTTAAGATGTTTGCTGCTGAGCAGCAGTGGAACCTTTCACTGTAGCTCTTCCTACCTACTCCTCTTATAATGTAAAGAGTATTTTAAAGAGTCAAGTAAATGTACAGTCTCAGATTCACTGTCTAGAAATGTGATGCCCTTTTTGCTAGTTTCCCATCTCCTGGAGAGGTTGCTAATTATTGCCTCATGGATATGACTTCATACTTGTCGGGCTGTCTTTACAACCTTTCATTCTTCTGCTGGTATTTTATAAAAGAAAAAGAATTTTTAAAAATAAATTTTAAAAAAAAAAGAAAGGCCAAGCAAGTAAACATGCAACTTATAGAAAGGTAGAGTAGCAAAAGCCTATTCAAAGAATGTTCTCCAAAAAATTGCTTGCCTTTTGAATAATTGCTGTCTGCTTACCTTTTAAGTTTTTTTCCCTTTTTAGCAGTTGTGACTTGTTCAAGAGGGCTTCTGAAGTTTCAAATTAAAATAAAATATCCTCTCACTGAGCAATACGTAAGAAATTAATGCTTTGTGAGAAACTCGGTCAGTCCAAAATGACTGTGTCATGTTACTAAATAACTGTATTTCTGTAGTGCAGGTGTAGTCCTAAGCTTTTTAGCATTACCCCATTATATTATTCTATTAGAGTAAAATAAACACAAGACTGAGCTGAGTAAACAGTGCATCTTTGGCAAGAGTGTAACCACAGGCAAGTTTTTTTCAGCTACGTGTTGGAGGATCATAATTTTCAACAAGTAGAGATCTCATCTGCTGCTTAGTTTCTCTGTTAATGATATGTCACAGAAGCTAGAAGATGGCTATCTTTGGAGAGCCATCTGTAATGTGTATAGATTATACACATTTACATTAGAATTTAAATTGTCATACACCAATAAAAGAAGCTGGCATTTCCCTATCAATCCAAGGCAACTTTATTTAGCGTCACTGTGCTATTAAGAAATATTGACTGTACTTGGTATTTGTATTTTATCCAGTAGTTGCGATTACTGCATGTTGTGGATGTCTAGTCCCTAATTATGACTTCACATTCCAGATTTTCCAGTTCACACTGTGCAGTCTTAAGCTATGAGCATTTTTTTTCCTTTCATAGCAGATTTCTGCTTTTTTTTCTGACAAGCTTTCCAAGTAGTTTTGTGTGTTGTTTCTGAACATTAGGTTTAAAACACTTAAATTTTC